CACAAATTATGCAGTCGAGTTTCCCGCATTTGGGGAAATCGCAGGGGTCAGCACACCCGGAGTACAATGGATGAGCCTCACCCTGGGAAAACCTCCTTCGTGATCAAGGTATCTCCCCTGCCAGGTAAGTATGCTTTGCTTCGCGCCGGGACCCCTTCCCACCACCGCTACACTCACTTCATGTCACGGTGGTCCGCACTACGACGCCGGACGTTTACCCGCACGCTTGCAAAGGCTTGCTCCTGCGGGGATCAGATTCCCGGAGGTTCCGCCGCGTCGCCAACGGAGGCGAGCTCCGGTTCGCGCTCTTCCCACAATGCTCTGCGAGGGTGCTTATTTGCATGTACCGGGAAACCGCCTCTTGCTTGGCCATTGGCTCTCGGGAGGAGGAGGAGGAGGAGGCCGCCGACGAGTTCTCTTTGCGGTCCGCAGCTCCGAGACAGCATCTCTTCTTCGGGCGCCCGACGAGACGGGGGTTCGGGTGAGGCAGCTCCCTTCCCAAGAAGGAACAACGCGACTTGGGCTCTTCGGCTGGGAAGGAGGAGGAGAGTGAAGACAGACGCGCTAGGCTGCAGCTCCGGAGAAGCTTTTCTCTGGCACGGCGTTAACGCTGGAGATCCAAGTGTACCCGAGCTACATGCAGACAGACTCGGGACTCGCAGAAGGAAATATTCTATTCCCCTGGCCTCTTGGCTGGAGATTTTGAGAGAGTTAACTTTTTTTTCTAAAGCTAAGTTTCATATAATTTAAAGAAGAATGGAATGGAATAGAGTAGGAATGAAGTGTGATTAGGCACACAAGGAATTTATCTCTGGTGCAGAAAGTCTCAGTTGTACATATAAAGCAACAGTCATCATCATCATCCCAATAAGAGATAAACAAGATAAGGATAATGCTACAACCATACAACATGGGTAAATTATGTAGACTTAGTGCTGTGAGAATTATGTGTTCATTAGAGCGATGGCACGAGGAAATAAATGACCTCTTTGTCTATTTCTTTTGGCGTGCAATGGCCTAGAGCAGCATCCTAGGGGAAAAATTGAAACTGTGTAGAATGTGAGGGGTCTGTAGATGCTCTATTTTCTCAGCCCTCCTGACCTGCATAGGTCTTCTATGGAGAGCAGACTGGTTACAGTTTTTTCTGCATACTTAGCTATCTGTTTGAGTCCGTTTGGTTCCTGTATCACACCATACAGTTATAGAAGTACAAATGACAGACTCAACAATTTGTAGAAATGCATCAACTCCTGGGGCAGTCTGAACTTTCTGAACTGATGCAGGAAGAATATTCTTTGTTGTGCTTTTTTAATGATGGTTCTAATGTTAGGTGTCCATTTCAAGTCCTAGGAATTAATAGAATCCAGAAACTTGAAGTGTAATTTAGTTTAGTTTATTGTCATTGAAACTTGTATAACAAAATCAAACACCATCTTCAGTGCACATCATGACCATGAAAATAAACACAAGCACACATCCTTCACACTCCACACATTGAACCGAAAACCCCCAACACCGCACCAACACTGCACTATACAGTAGAGGTTCCCTATTGTTGATACTGTGTTGTCTAATGTAAGAAGTGGTAGAATAGGATTTCAGCCACAACTGCTAGGAAAATTGTTTGGGATGCAAAGAAAAACCCACAAAGAACTTCAAGTGAAATACAAGATTCTGACAATGTGGTATGACTGTTTCAAGATGCACAATAAGGAGGCAGTGGAAGAAAGATGGGCTGCATGGTCGAGTCGCCAGAAGAAAGCCATTACTACGCAAATACGACAAAGTATCCCGCTTACAATATCCCAAACAGCACAGAGACAAGCCTCAAACTTTCTGGCACAAAGTCATTTGGAGTGATGAGACCAAAATTGAGCTTTTTGGCCACAACCATAAACGCTACATTTGGAGAGAAGTCAACAAGGCCTATGATGAAAAGTACATCATTCCTACTGTGAAGCACGGAGGTGGATTGTGGATGTTTTGGGGATGTATGAGCCACAAAGGGACAGGAAATTTGGTCAGAATTGATGGCAAGACGAATGCAGTATGCTATCAAAAGATACTGGAGGAAATTTGCATTCATCAGTCCGGAACCTGTGCATAGGACGTACTTGGACATTCCAACATGACAATGATCTTAAACATAAAGCCAAGTCGACCTTCTCATTGGCTACAGCAGAATAAAGTGAAGGTTCTGGAGTGGCAATCTCAGTTTCCTGACCTCAATATCATTGAGCCACTCTGGGGAGATCTCAAACGTGCAGTTCATGCAAGACAGCCCACGAATTTACAGGAACTGGAGACTTTTTGCCAGGAAGAATGGGCAGCTTTACCATCTGAGAAGATAAAGAGCCTCATCTGTATATATCACAAAAGACTTCAAGCTGCCATTGATGTTAAAGGGGGCAATGATTAAGAACTGGGCTATGTAAACTTTTGATAAGGGTCATTTGGGTAGTTTCTGTTGTCATTATGATTTAAAAAGAGTAAACACAATTGACAATAAATGGCTTCAGCCAATCACTAACCATGAGTGAAAGAAAAGTTTCTGTGTTATCATACATATTCTCTGAAAAATGGCCAAGAAATCATAAATTCTGCCAGGGTATGTAAACTTATGAGCACAACTGTACAACTAAAGAATGCATTAAGCCCAACTTTCTCACAGGGAGGGGTATAAGGCGAAGACAACATAGCATGCAGGAACAAATATCGAGATGATGACATTGGGTGTTTGTACCAGTGGGAAAGGCCTCATTGAAGAAAACATTTACAGGTTATCTCTGACTTAAAACCATTTATTTAGCAACTGTTCAAAGCTACAATGATATAAAAAAAAATGACTTGCAACTTTCATAACTCCTGCAGGATCTCTCATGGTTATGTGATCAAAATTTGAGTGCTTATATATATACTGTATATTTATAATGGTTGCTGCTTCCCAGGTTGATGTGATAGCCCCTTGTGACTTTTTCAGCAGGCTTCCAAAAAGCAAAGTCAATGAAGGAAGCCAGATTTAATGAATGATTGTATAAGTCACTTAACAATTGTGGCAAAAAAAGTAAAATTGGGTGTAACTCATTTAACTGCCTTTCTTAGCAACAAAAAATCCTGTCCTAGTTGTGATCTTAGTTGTGAGGACTTCCTGCAGAAGGCAGCCAGCATTGAGTCTGACAATTCCTCC